GGGGGGGGGGGGGGGGTTGCTTTTAGTCCTTTAATTTTTTTTTTTTGTTCCTATAAATTTTTTTGTTTCATTTTCGTCCTTTCTGTCAAATTGACAGTTAAATCTAATGGAGAAAAGCTAGAAAATTATAGGGACCAAAATTTGAGAGAACCAAAATGAAAACAACTAAAATTTGAGAGGAACAAAATGAAAAAAAACTAAAATTAAGAGAATTAAATTGAAAACAACCTTATTTTGTAGGGCCAAACATCTATTTGAGCCAAATTTATATCTGTCTTATTTTATATATTGTTTTTTCTGCTTCTCATTTGTTATGTTTCCTTCATAACAAGAAGGTTTTTGCATCATTACACGGCTTTTATGAAGTTCTATGTTTGAGGTTTAAATTTAATTTTAAATTGGTCACTAAAAATTAAGGATTTACACTATTAATATAAATTAAGGTTTAAGTTAGTTGTTTTTGTTTTAGTCCTCCCAACTTTTAATTGTTTTCGTTTTGATCCACCCAGATTCTAGTTGTTTGCATTTTGGTCCTCTCAAATTTTTGTCCCAATAATTTTTTTTTTCCATTAGATTTAACGGTCAACTGGTCAATTTGATGACAATGAGACAGAATTATTTTACATGGTGACATTCAGTTTTGTATAAAAGGACTAAAAGTTTAAAAGCAAAAACCTTCTAATTTACGGGGACGAAAAAATGATTTAAATAATATTTCTGAAGCTTTGGTTTTTAATCAAGTTGAATGGTGTTGTGTGATCCATCATCCATGTAGCCGTATTCACCAAGTTGGATAAAACTTTGTTGTTATATTTTGGTGTTATATGCTGATTACTAGTATGATTTGTGAGACTAGATGGAATTTTTGTTTTCTACTATTATTGGATGGGTAATAGCATTTTGATCTTTATTTTTAGAGTAAAGACAAGGGGAAACGGGAAATTTACAAGGGGACTATTCTGTTTGAATAAAATAGATTAATATTTATGCTTTTGTTATGGAAATGCCCTCAATGACATTGCTAAGTCACCACCACTAATGATTATCTTATCTTGATGATAGGTACGAGTTGTCTCCCCTGACAAAGACTTTTTTCAGATTTTATCTCCTTCATTACGTCTCCTTCGAATAGCTCCACGTGGTGATCAGTTAGTATCAGACATAGTTTTTGCTTATCCGTTTTGTGCTGGCCGATGATTTAGTGCAATAATTGATAGCATTTCATATTTGATTTTAATATAACGAGAAATCATATAATAAAGAGTTTATTTTTATCTCCCACATACCCTTTTACACATAAATCACATTACCATAGGAAAACAATTTAAAAGGAAAGGGACCCATTTTACATTTAATCTCCATAGCTGTGCTCTTTAACAGAGTGTGGACAATTATACATAATTGACAATGTAAATATTATGCTATACAAACATTGCTGTCTCTTACTGTTCCTCATTGAGTGCTGCATGAACTTTCTTCTTAAAGTAATAATGAAAAACCTGTATAACATTGAAAAATACAAGTGCTGCATGCTTGATAACAATTCAATAATCTGATTCCTCATAAATCAAATTAAAACAAATTGCAACAAGGCTACCACAGAAAGGTTTTCAAAATTTAATAGCCTTACCATTTCTACAATTTTTATTTTCAGTTGCAATTTAGAAAGCAGTTTACTCATGTTTTTGGTCTGCTTCTATTTTTTTCTACAGGATGGTTTCGTTTGGAGTTGAGGATTTTGCAAATCGATACGGGGGTCTGAAACCATCCCAATTTGTGGATATGATCGCTCTTTCTGGTGATAGATCTGATAATATTCCAGGTTATTTGTGCTTCTCTATTTCAAACATCATTTGCTGAAACATGAGAAACAAAATAGGGGTTACTGAGAGTCTCAGAAGCTTTTCAAATTTGAGTATATGCATAATTTCTTGTTAGGCACCTTTGAAAGCAATGGGTATTAAGACCTGTTAGGATTAGGATTACCATTTTAGCATTATTATTGTTCTTATGTCAGTAGTGTTAGTACATGTGTTGATCTATATTATTGGTATAAATAATTATATCAGGTCAGCGATTTATTGCCTCATCGTCATAATATCACAATCCCATCAGTTAAATATGTCCTCCCTTTTATCTTTCCAATTTTCCCCCTTAATTTCAAGTTTTCAACAAGACCAATGTCTTATAACATTGTAGAAAAGGTAAAAGGGGGAAAATCACTTATTAAACATGAATATGTGATAGACTTGCAAGTATTGTGCAACTCTTTTATCAACATGAAATTTATTGTTTTTATCCTCATCGTTGACGTAATTTAATTCTTCTAAACTGAAATTGCATAAAAAATGTTAGAGGGTATTATTTCACTGTTCTCCTTCACCATGTCTTGGGCATCTTTGAAGTATATCTTACTCAGACGTTTCTCACTATTTTTGCTGTGTATCTTATAAAAAATATCGGATGTTACTCTCCCATATTGAGCGGATCATCTCTCAATATACTCCTTTAACATCTTATCTCTCAATATCGTTCAAAAAGTGATTATTTAAAATAAAAATTGATTAACAATTGTATATCATTCATAAAGTGATTATTTAAAATAAGTATTGATTGCTCCTAGCATGACTTACAAATGGACATGATATGGTTAAAATAGAATATATAAATCACAATGACGTTATTTAAATTATATACATCTTGAATCTTGAATTATAATAAAGACATTAATATTTATAAATTAATTTTAATCATTATAAGCATTAAAAGTATATGTCCGTGTCATTTACCAATATGACATACAATTCTATGTTTATATGATGCATCTTTTCTCTTTCTAAACTTTTTTTAATGTTACGTTATTTAAAAAATCCATCTCTTGTAATATGTAATAAAGTTTTGACGTGAAATCAGTCATGTTTGACTACTGATTAATGTGCACAAGGAAGAAAAGAAAAGTAAAAAAGTACATGAATAACTGGTTAAAACTTGACGGAAGTTAAAGAGGTGCACTGAACTGGTTTTAAATGCCTTTATAAATGCAGGAGTAAATGGGATTGGAGACGTTCATGCTGTGCAATTAATCAGTAAATTCGGTGAGGTTTTATTACTTTATCTTTCTTTTCCAAAAGGTTACATTGTGTTGAGTTTAGGATTCTCATCAGTGTTGGATTAATTGGTAAAGCATGTTTGTTCTGGCAATGGCATCATGGGAAGCCAGTGTTTACCCAGTACCATGGTCTGTGGTTTAATTTTTGCAAACTCAAATATTACACGCCTGTCTTCCTATCTAATAAAGCGAGCATTTTCACTTGCTTATGCCAGAAATTAGAATCTAAGGTGTCTTGGTAAGGGAAACAAAAATCAGTGAGTTAATAAATTTGTTTGGCACCCCCTATGCTGGACCATGGGAGGAAGGTGAGCAAGGGAAGATGGGGTTTTCAGTATGCTTATATTGTAAGCAGAGAAAGTAGACATGGAAACAGTGGGGTCTCTCTGAGGTAGATTAACAAGGAAAGTAAGGTGATGTTTGGGTTGGGGGTTGCTGCCAAGCCCTTCTAAGTGTTGCTCTGTCTGTATATTTTCTTTTCTTTTTCTGAGAGAGTCAGAGGTTCTGTGCTGTGTTTTCTGCATCTGTTGTTGAAATTACTTCTCCTTTCTGTAATCAAATACTTGGGTTCTTATCATAATTCATTTGCTGTATCCTTTTTGGAGTATTTGGTTCGGATGGAAAATTACAAATTAATGATACCTTTACTGCTGTCCAGAAAAAAACAATGTTAATTTATTAACTTGTATATAATTGTCTATTGTTGCTGCAGGTGTTACAGACTTACAGTGCCTTCTTCCGATTCTTTTTCCTTTTCAATTTGGTTCTAATTATTGAATGTTAAAAAACTATTTGAATTACCTTTGCTTTGCACGGATTAGTGAAAATAAAAATATAGAAAACAAAAAGGAGAGAGGATGTAGGTTATGTAATAAAATACTGACGCAAAAGTGTGTGAGCCTGAGCTGTAAAAATGCACTCAAATTCAACACGTGGATAGTGAATGGTGTCTGGACAGTTTTTGTGGTAATATTTGAATTACTTAGAATTTTATTGGTTGGGTTCTTGGTTGGCATTTGATAATTTAGTCATCCAAATAATTTAACTTTCTAGAACACTCATTAGTCATTTCTAAAAGATTTTTGTTTATGGTTACCTGGACTTGTACCTTGTATACTATATGGTTGTAAGCCATATCTCTTGTATGAACAGGCACATTGGAGACGTTGTTGAAATCTGTTGATCAAGTCAAAGAGGGTCGCATTAGAAAGGTATTCCTGATCAATATCATGCTTCTTTTGCACGTTTACTTGCGTGACAATTGAAATGTTCTCGTTGGAACTTTATGTCAGGTTCAACATGAGTAGTGAGGTTTGTTGTTGCATTTAGAATCTGAAAGTAATTGCTTCCCTTCTGTGAAACTATACCCTAAATGATTGTAGAAATTTCACCTTATAAAATGAATGTAGCTCACCTTCATATTCACCAAAACATTAATATTGTGCTGTCATTTGCCATTTTCCTTCTAGGCCTTGATTGAAAATGCTGAGCAGGCTCTCTTAAGCAAGGAACTGGCAAGCATCTCAATCTGATATTCTCTTTCTCTCTTGCACTTTTTTCTCAGCATCTTTTTGTCATGCTATCTACAATATTATCTTTATGTGTCAGTACTTTAAATTATGACAGGCATTGTTGCGTTCTGATCTTCCATCCTACATGGTACCGTTTTCTGTGAGGGATCTCTCATTTAATAAACCAGAGGTTTGTGGCATTGAAATCAGTTTAAATTTTCACCTTGTATTTTTTAGTTGGTTTTTGGCATGGCCTTTTAAGTCCAATTATCATTTTTTTTTCTGCCATCAGCTAATAAGCATAACTGATGTTACAGCTTATGTGGGTAAACTTCTCCAAAATCACTCAAAAAGAAAATATGAAGAAAAAATGAAATAAATTTATTCATAAGTTAAAAATAAATTATTAGAAAAACTAATAAGAGAAAACTTTTATAAATTAACTTTTGTATAAGTTAATTTTAGTACAAAAGTTAATTTTAGCTTATAGACAAACTGATTTCATTTTTCTTTCCTACAAGAATCATGGGAAAGTTTATTTAATCAAGTCCTTAGTCATAAACTGCTCGATCATTGTCATTAATACTGTAGTGGTTTTGAGATTAAGAATAGAAGCAGCAGCAAAAAAGTATGTGAACAATTATTTGATTTTTTTTTTTGGCGGGGAGGGGTGGGGGGGGGTCTAAAATCATCATTCCAATATTGTTATTAAATACAATAATGTAACAGTACTAAAAATATTTGGAGGTACCTATTATACTTGAAGTTGTACAATGTATGTATTTTCACATTGTAAAAGAAAATTGTTTACAGGACAATGGCAGCAGATTCAACAGCCTTTTAACAGCTATCAGTGCTTACGCAGAAGGGTTTTCCGCTGATCCTATCATTAGGAGAGCTGTTCATTTGTGGAGAAAGTTGGATTCAAGATGAAATTCATCGAATCATCGGGTTTTTTTTTTTTTTTTTTGTATAGAGGGGGGATTCTTTGAATAGAACATTTCAATTCTTGAACGACGGTACACAACATGAGGGAATTCAAGTGTATATAGTAAGCAGAGTGAGTTGTTCTTGTGCAGATATCTATGCATTCCACTGATGGCTCTGCGATCTTCATTGTCATTATTCGTAGTTTGACCCGATTGTACATTTTTGTTTAAGGTAAAAAAAAATACAGAGTAGGCCACAAGGCAGAACACAAAATAGTATGACTATGAGTAAATGAGTCGTAGTATTTGCTTAAATGGCTGTAGATTTTAGGAAACATGTTGCATAAGGTTTGAGGAGTCGAAGTCTAAAGCGCACCCGTACTAATGCGTCCCTTGGGTAAATATTAGGGATGACGATGAGGTTCCACGGGCGGGTAATAGTAAATCCGTTCCCGTCTCGCTAGATGAAAATTAGTTTCATACTCACTCCATATCCGCGCAGGTATTTATTAAGTGGGTATTCATGAATTTCTTGAATATTTATGGATATTTATGGGTATTCATAGATATTTATAAATTTTTTAAGAAATTAAAAAATTATATTACAAATAATTTTAAATTTATATTTAATGTCAATAAAATATTAAAAAAATTAAATATTAATTTTGAATTTGTATTTAACGTTAATTTTGTTAAGATAATAATAAAAATCAAGATAATTAATAACTTAAAATACATCAATCTCATGAGTAAGTAAAAGTCTCATGTTACATAGTTACAATTATTCAATCTCATAATTCCAAACGAAAGTAAACAACTAAAAATACATAAATCTTATTAGCTCAATCAAAGATAGAAAATTAATCAAATTACATCCAACATAATTCTATAACATGTTTAACACATGTTGATAACTTCATCAACCTCACTTTTGTATGAAAATAAAATGAGAGAGTATTTTTAGGGTTATGTAGTACAAGAATAATTAAGATATTTAAGAAATATTATTAAACGGGTATCCGCGAGTATGAATATTATCATACCCGCCCCCGTCCCGTTTATAAACGGGTAAAAAATTATTTGTCCCCTTTATCTGCGAATACTTAATTAACCTATCCATTTATTATCCGTAGTGAGTTTTATCCGCAGGGGTGAGTTTTATCCGCAGATACCTGCGAGTGCGAGTATTTTTGCCATCCCTATCCCTAGTAAATATAATATATTATAGAACGAGAAACGTGATGGAAAGGCTTAGGCTTTTGTGTACATCCAGATTCTTAAAGTTCGAAATAATAGAACGATTATAGAGCCAATAACATCCTACAATTTGATATCCTCATCCATATACACTCGTGCCAGCTAGATAACTGGCTTTAGACCGCACTACACAATGTAGTTGACGGTAAATTAATTTTATAGCTCCTGCATTGATGCTATCGCTCCTTGATTAGAATACTAATGCCTAGCATCCATAATCAATTAATGCTTCTACTAAGACAGTAATTTAGCTCATGGATTGTTTTGGGGTGGGTGGGTGCTTCAGTTTTTATTTTAAAATGTAAACTTTTTATCCCAAAATTGGTGCTACCATACTAGTCTTTCATGACTACATATAGATATCGTTTCACACAATCATTCACTTTTATTTTTTAAAAATAAGGCTAATATAGATAATAACATTTCAATTTCAATAAAGGATCAAGAAACAGAGTTGGATAATTTGTATAGAAGTTTTAATAACCCATAAAGGTGCTTATGAATCACCCCACAATAACGTTGTCAAAAGCCACGGCTAAGGGCTCCATATAAACTTGCTTCGTTAAAAGGCTAAGCTTATATGTTTCTCCAACAAAAAATAGTAAAAACTATCTCCATACTCAAAACATGATGTTATGATGTCCTATTCTTTCATGTCCTGTGGCTTCCTCGTGCGAGTTGATCGTCTATTCAGTGTCGTATCTGCAGATGGCTCTGATATTTCTTCAGCCACATCACTTTCAGCACCTGAGCCGCGAGTTTTAATCAGATAATGGGCCACAGATTTGAAACCCAGTTTTAACACCTTGCAAAGACACAAATTAAAATGGAATGATCAGTTTCAGCATATTCCTTAACTGAATCACATCAAACATACCTCAACCCTTCATTAACTGAGTATGTCGTATAATAAATAACTAACCTTACTGTATATGTTGCCGGTAGGCATCCAACCTTTACCCCTGCGACAACGACTACAGTTGCAAATTCCTCGGCAAGGAGGGCATGCCCAGTTGGCGTTCTGGTTCGCTTCCATCACATTTTCGCCATACCTATAAAATATCAGTACAAAATTCAAACTTGTTAGTTTCATCGCAGTTGGGTCTCATGATAATATATGCCAGCATTTTTTAAAATTCTGAATTTTCTCAGCTTAAATAATGTTACCTTGTGTACAAGCAATCTCCACAAAATTGCCCTTGGGGTAATTCACATTTGTTGCATTGAGTATGCTCACCGACAGTTTTCTGCCTGCAAGAAAACAATAATTTATGAAAATCTTTGCCCTGAAACTGGAACCGGAGAGCATAGTGAATTAATCAAATACAATGAATGGTACCTGCATTGATGGCATGTCTCTCCTTTGATTGGATCATATATTCGGTTCCCATCCACATCATATCCATCCACATATAATTCCCAAGCAGTTTCACAGTCTCCCAGAAGCTTCTCCTGCTCTTCTGTGTAAACTTCTGGGTTTGTACCTTCTGGTATAATAATCTCTCCTTTGTTTTCCTTACTTAATGAGTCACTAACACGTCTCTCAGAATAGTTAATTGGTGCCAGAGTCATTATTCTGCAAACCCATGAAATATTTGTGTGAAAAAAATACGTGCCAAAGTTCAAACAACATAAGAATCAACCATGGCAAGAATGCAAAACCAAATCACAGAATAGTTAATTTTCATCTTGGTATTATACTTGAGAGCTGAGCAACAGCGAGTAGAAGCACCGACACTTACAAAATAGTTGCGCTATCAATGTGCCAATTGCATTTCAGACACTTAAGACATTTCTAAAGTATTTTTTGAATATTCATGTCAATGTAAGTGAAATGTGATTGATAATGAGCATATCAATAATGCTATTTAATTTTTAGACAAAACATGGACACAGTTCCACTACGTTGTTATTCGATTAGAACTAGAATTTCACCTTTGCATAATAAAAGTTTGCATTGAAGACCAATGAAACTCCAATTCTGGTAGCATATAAACACCAAATTTACTTACAAAAAATAAAGAGTTTCTTAGTTTCCATAAAATGCCTAATATTGATAATATTTATATTTTATGTACCATATCTTAGCCCAGCCATGTTCATATTCAGGCCTCGTTTTCTCTTCACCAAAATGGAAATGAGTTTCCACAGATAAAAAAGGGCAAAGATAACATTTTTGGGGTTAAAAGAACAAACCCATTAAGAAAGGTTGCTCCTTTTGACGTTTCATTGCTACCAAAACACGTAAAAACGAAGAAATGAAGAGAAAACCTGGCAGAGCGTCTCTGGGGTGAAAGGTTGGGTTGTGGGGTGGTTTTTTTCTTCTTGAGGGGTGGGTTTTTCTTTGGGGGTTTGAGTTTAAGAGACAAGTCCAATAAGCCAAGCTTGTTCATTCTCTCCATATTCTCTTTGATCCTTTGCTCCCTAGCCTGCTCATAACGTGAAGAGCCATCATCATCATCATCATCATCACCTTCTGCTTCGGACCCTTCACTTTGGGAGTCGCTACCATCATCTCCAGAATGAGAAAGAGAAGGTTCTTTTTCTTGTTCTTCTTCTTCGATCTTCTTTCTGCGAATGCCCATTCCCATTCTCTGAGTGTGCGTTTTGGTTGGGAGGGGGTTTCGTTTTGGAGAGGTGAAATGGCGGGATTCCCAAACTCGTGGGAAAAATAGCTTTCCCAATTCACTAATTAACACTAATTTTTTATTATTAGGTTTTATGTATTTTTCCATCTCACATTTTTTTCCCTTAAAATAATGTAAATGCATGAGTTTTTTTAATCGAAAGTTGTCCTGTCTCTTGGAGCGTCATCAGATTATTTTTTAATTTTGATAACTTAGTAACAAAAATTGGGTTTAAAAGTCGATATCAATTGTTATAATGAAAATATTAATTTTAATTAAAAAATAATATTAAAAGTACTTAATTTTTTTTATTAAATATGTTTTTAATATGAGTAAATTTTATTTTAGTTCCTCTAAAATTTTTTGTTTTTTATTCCTCCAAAATTTGGAGCTATTATGTGTTGTCTCTACATATTATTATAAGTGTGTGATGTTTTTTAATTATTTATGTGTTTTTTTAGAAAGTTAAGTGAGTAATCAGAATGATATCCAAAATTATTTATATATTAGTGTGTGACACATATAAAACTTTTAAATAAACTAAAAATAAAACATATTCAAGTTTTTTTAAAAAAAAATAAGTGACATTCCAATGGAAACATGAGAGTTCATTTAACGTTAGGATTAAAACTCATGATCATCATTGTTTAATTCATTAATTAAATCATTAAATCAAGTAAATTATTTAAATTATAAGATAAATTATACTTTTGATCACTTTTTTATTTCTGAGATTTAATTATTTTTACTATTTTTAAATGGTTTAATTTAGAAATATTTAAGATTGTCCTTCCGTTTAATCATTTAAAAATGAACCTTTAAAAAATTTGAGAACCATTTAAAAATGTTGTTCAACCTTAATTTTTTTTTTAAAAATTAGAGAACTAAATTAAATCATTTAACAAGTAAATTGAACAATAATTTATTTAATATTATTTTTGTTTAGATAAATTAAAATTTTTATTTACCTATTTTGTTAATAATTATTCAATTTAGTCGCTCTATTTTTAAAATATTTAATTTTATTTTTCTATTTTAGAAATTTTAATTTGATTTTTTAATTTTTAGAAAATGTTCAATGTCTCTTTCTGCCTAATTTTATTAACACAATTAGTGCCAATTTAGATAGAAAGTTAACATCGGACAATCTTATAAAAATTAGAGGATCAAGTTGAAAATTTTAAAAATAATGAAATCAAATTGAATATAAAAAATAAACAGAGAAACCAACAAATACTAACAATAAATTCTTTAACATACTCATCTTAACATGCTTATTTTTATTGACTAAAATTTATTAAAAACTGTAAAATTAAGAGAATTATTAAATAAAACATGGAACCCATCAAATTTTATATTTTTTAATAAATTTTAACCAATTAGCGAACGTGTTACTAACATTTTTATAACATGAATACAATATAATATAATGCAGTGAATATCTTACAATAAAAAATTCACTTGTTCTATGATAATCATTAAATTGAGATTCTCCTAAAGTTCGACATTATTGGATATATTTATATTTATAAAATTTTAAATCTATGTAACATTTAGAATTACTTTCTAAATTAAAGTTGCGACGAGACAAAATTATCTATGAGAATATGTTAAAAAAACTATTTTTCACTTTCCATGCATCCGATAAGTTCCTGTTGGAGCAATATTGAGAAAAAAAGCTTAAAATATATTGTGAATTAATTTCTTATTTTCTCATTGTTTAGCAAAATAATGAACTTACATTGTAATGGATCGAAACCACCGTGAACCTCTATATTGTAATCACCACAATATGTATATTAAACTAAATATATTTTCTTAAGTTTTATATTTTAATTTTTATTTAAAATATAAAGATTCAAAGTGTCTCAATTCCACTAATAGATAATAATAAAAGTATCAACCCAAGACACTTACTCTTATGAACGCAAAAATTTCAAACAAAGAAAAAATGCCCATTTATTTAATGTCTGTTAAACCCTTCAAAGAATTTATTCTTGTGTTCGACATGGGAATATCTCTTGAGGGATACTCCTTGATAATGAAAAATAAATAATAATAATAATAATAATAATAATAATAATAATAATGAGTAACAGATAATAGTAGAAAAATAAATCCTCGTATCCCAAGCCCCAAGGATGAAGAATAAAGAATATTCACTAGATGGATTTCTCGAGTCTGTAGCAATACAAAATCCCCATGAAACTGGGGCATGCCTTGACAAAGCATCATGAATCCCACAAAACAATTGTTTCTGTACACGCCCTAAACCTATCTATGTTTTATACAATTGGACATAGATACAAAACCAAATGCCGAGTTCCCAAATCAATCATCTTGCAGGTTACATGGCACCACACCACCAAAACGTGTTCTTCCCAATTTCAAGTTCCACATATGCTGCCCATATACCTCATGTCATATAGAACTCTATACGGGTTGGTGAATACTCAACACAACATTCCGCATCTCAGGGAAGATGGTGACAAGTGCTAGTTCCAAAATTGCATAAGCAAGTTGCTTCACACATGTGTTAGACTAAAACACAAGTAAATGATAGAACTGTTAGTTTAGCAGAAAATTTTTCAAGCAGACAAAGTAAAAAATCAAGGCAAACACAAGAAAGAAGCTTGCACCAAGTGAATACAGCAATGGTCTGGGATAGGATTTAACCTGACTAAAGTAATATATATCCCTGGCGCAATGTCTGTACTGCTTATGGCCGATTAAGCTGACTAAAGTTGATGGAGCACTATCTGGTAAAAAAGGAAACTCGTCGTGTCAAAGTCTGGGGATGTAAATTCTGACAATGGCTCGCTATTCACTTAAACCAACACAAGATTCTAAAGACTGTATTAAGAACATGGAAGTACCATAACATTCAAAGACCTTCTTTGGCAACTATGTCATTATAAGTGTTTGTTTGAGTAAACTTTACAAAAAAACACTTATATGAGAGAAAAATAAGAAAGAAAAATAAAATAAAATTTTCTATCAGCTAATCTGTAAAACCCCTCGTATTAGTATTATATTACGTTTTTGTATTTCAATGTGTGAAAATAGTATCTTAAAAGAATCTATTTACCAAATAACAAAACATGTATTGAGACTATATAACAAACAAACTTTAGGTGTCGGTACAAATTAGTGAAAGAGGGTGTTTGTGCACTAACCTTCGAAGAAAGATGAAATATACACAAAAGGAGATTAATATTATAAAATGATGGGAAAACACTTGATTGTTGATGGTATAAATACTAGATTCATACCAAGCATATTCTGAAACGTGATTGGTGATAAGTTTTCTCACTCTTACAGTTAATTTGAAGCATGATTAGTTAGTTTTAGTTCCACCAAAATCCGTACTAAATACCAATGCTGTTAAATAAAACTTCAAAGTGGAGAATATCTAACAACCGATCTCAAATAAATCAACATGGGATTCTACATGAAATAAAACTAACCAAACAGCAGTTTCTTGATGTCACTTGCTCTACGAGCAGCCTCAAGCTCTTGCTCAAAAGACCCGGACTCAGATTTTGTGATGTTGCTTCCACCAGATCTGCTCATTGTTTGAAAAGGCTTTTGATCACTGTCACTACTTATTATCCGGGGAGTCTCTACTCTTAAGAAAAACGTACCATCAGGCCAGAGGACCTGAAAGCATGAGCACCCAACATGAAACATTTACACAATCCAGTGTAAATTATTTTATAACTTTTGTCTCTTTCCTTATTGGCAGGAGATAACTCCATCCAAATTCAAGTGGTAACTGTAAATTCGTATAAAGAAATTTCAGTACAAGAGTTTAGCCCTTTATCAGAGAAATGGTTATTTAATCAGGCCACAGACAATCAAGTAAGCCTAGTTTTAATACTTTTACTTCGTATTAGAAGGTTCATTTCTGTGAGTTGGTATACAATGTCCCCGTAAAAGATGTTTAAAGTTTTGGCTCAATCCTTACATTTTGGACCCACCGAATCCCTTGGGCAACAGTTTCCTCTCTCCGGAGCCAATGAATCTGTCTCAGGAGCCAATCATCAATTGCATCTTCCATCACCAACTGTAAAATCTGTTTTGATATCCAATAGACTTGTCTTCTGCATCAACATAAATGATGACACTAGCAACTTGTAAGTCCTATAAATTAAACAAATTGACAGTGTCACAATACCAAGTATTTTGGAGTTTGGACAGTCAGAATCCATTTAGCCTAAGAAACAAATTGTGAGGCATGTAATAAATGCTGATGGTTATCATCCATGTATAATAAAAAAGAAGCTCATATGAGCAGCTCAATTGGTAAATTATTCTTTTCAAATCAGGGGGATAAAGGAATGAAAGTGGTAAAGGGTAGCACTCTAGGATTCTATCAATAAATAGAGAAGGTCTGAGAGAAGATAGAGTGGAAGCAAAGGGGCTCGTTCATCTGGTGTAACAAAACAGGTAAAAAAAAAAAGTCCTTGATAATTATAGGTATATTATTCAAGTATAAGTTTGAGAGAACTGGTGAAGGCCAAAAGTCTAGATAGGTTTATAAAAAAAACAGAACCTACGTCTATAGCAAAAGTCTTCCTTCTTTACCATGCAGAACCTTAACTTGAATATTAAACAAAGAATTATCAAGAAGAATTTTATTTGTTCCTGGTTTCTTATACCAGAAGAACCTGCCCATTTGTGGTCTTTGACTCATTCTTCTCTCAATCAATTTCCACTCCTTGATAGAAACCCTAACTAGACTCTTGCCCTACGCCAGTTAGACCTATCTCTTTCCTTACACCAAAAGAGAGAGAGAGAAGGGGCAGGGGGGGAGGGGCATGAACAAAACATAAGTAGAACGAACAATTATCACTATGCTGGGCACTAAATATTAATAATGAGAATGTGCAAGGATCAGACTCACTTTACCGTTAAAGTTTCATATCAAATCAAGGAACCTAACATTCTAAAATCATGAGCAGTTAGGTGCAATGCAAGCCTACGAATGATTCTTGTCTCTAACATGCAAAATCACATAGTATATTAAGATAACTTGTAATCAAGAACAAAAAATTAAATAAACATCTAAAGGAGCTTCTGCAAATTGGTATAAGATTAAAACTTTTTGGACGATATTAAGAGTTAAAGTCATTATATCTAGTAGTTAAAAACTTGAAAATTACAGAACCAGATAGAGTAATATACCTTATCCAGCCTCTTTTCTTAAGCTGAAATATCTTGTCAACTAAATTCAAAATGGGGACACTAACATTTGGTGGGGCCCACTGCAAAAAGAAAAATATCAAACTTATGAATGTTCGCTAAATGTGTTTAAATAAATAAAAAAAAGGTTATCATCAATGAATGACGAGAGAAGGAAAGAATTTTGACAACATACTGAGTTAAATTTCATGTAAAAAACCAACCCTGCTTTTTTCTGGTTTTCCAAACTTTGTTGTTTCTCCTTGAAGGAGAGAAGGGAAAACGAGGGAGGTGCTACAGTAGACCACCAAGCATGTTTCCAAAATGTTTTTAAACACCAATATGTTTGTTTCATGAAAAACCAATGTGTTTTTGAACACCAAAATGTTTTCCAAAGAAAAGGTTACCATAAACAATTTCTTTCCAAAGGATTTGGTAAATATTTGAGGCTATAGGGTCTTGAAGGCCTGAACAAATCTATGAAAGCTAGGATGCCTGATAATAACTTAGCTTCTTAAACTATTTGGTGGATATCCCTAATGGCCCAAACAAAACCTCAAGAAAGTAAAACTATCTTCAGCCAAACTAATTAATAAAATCGGTAAAAGTACAAATTCTTTTTCCTTACTTCTAAAGGAATGAATTTTTTTCTTGTTTTTTCAAAAAGAAAGATACGAGAGAAACAAAAGTATTATGTTCTATTCTATGGTTTTCATCGTATCTCAGTAATAAATGTTATTTCCGGCTAGTAGGCAGTATTCTAATCAGCATCTTAGTTCCAAATTCAATAACCAGCTAATAAATAAATTATACACAAAACAGTAAGTACCAGGGAAGAGAACCAAGTTTCTCAATCAACTGAAGTGCAATTTGTAAACCAGAAAAAAAAAAAGCAAACTCAGCTAACTACACAAACCTCTGGTGGCACTCCGACTGGATCTTCCAAATTATCATTAATCAGAATGAAATTTGTAGAAGGAACATCATTGCCAACCCTAGCTTCCACCACCATATCATGCTTTCTATCAAAATTCAAGTTGCTGGACTCTTCATCACGTTTGTTTATTGGTGATGGGTAACTCTTTGAGATCAATGCATTGTCAGAATACAATCCACTAACTTGTGCTACATCGCTATGAATGTTCTCTTGGTCAAAATTGCTGTTCTTTTCACCTTCCTCGTTATCAGAGCTTAACACACTTTCTGAGGTACCTTTCGTGGTAAAGCTTTTGTCAATTTCATCTGCATTCCAGGACAAATTCCAAGTGGTAGATGTAGCAGATCCCTCGTTGATGAGTGATGATGAACCAACAACTCTTCGCCTTAAACCATCTGATACCCCTTTAAACTGACGTACAATATCATCCATAGCATCATCTACATTGACTGTTAGTATAAAAAATTCAAACAATGAACTGGGATCAATACACAAAAAATAAATTAAAATCAAATTAAATCTACATTTAAAAGAATTTTATGAAATGAAGATCGAGTTAAAAACATAAATACTAAATAACATCGGAAAAAAATAAAGGACTGGATTTTAGAATAAGAAAATGACCTTTTTTTCTGTACCACAATCATCTTATAACTAGCCACATAGAAATCCAGTCCATATTACAAAAAATATTAAAAAACTCTTCATGATAAATATTATAAATCAATATTAAATACTAAATACCATCAAATAAAAAGTGAAGGACTAGTTTTTAGAATAAGAAAATGACATTTTTGTTTTCTGTAACATAATCATCTTATAAGTTGCTATATAGCAATCCAGTCCATATTACAAAAAATCTTAAAACAAAATCGCCCAATCGATATTGAACTCGCACTTGTATGTGATTCTATACAATTTTCTCAAGTTAGCTCGAGCCCACCCAAAAACGATTTTGCAATCAACTTAGCTCGTTTTGGTGGAGTAGAAACGTATACTCATACAGGTTTACGAGTGAATCATGATTTTGATAAACATGCATAGTACCCTTAAAAATAACAAAGCAGGGGATGGGCAAGGGAGGTATGTGTAATTTATGAAACAAGAAGCCTATGTGTATTTGCTGCTAAACTCAGGAGAGATCAGTCTAAATAATCCTTCCTTTTATTGTTTTTTAATGTGACCAGAATTTCAAGAGTTTAAGGACTTCAAAAATTTTAAAAAACAGTCAGCCTGAGCATTTAACAGCAGCATTATAACATAAAACTAAAATGTTAAACTTAGAACCAGATACCTGCCAAGGTCTTCATCACTGAAGGAGATTTCCCGAATGAGTAGTTCTTCATGGGTAAAACAGAACAAAAATAGTTTGTTAGATCTTAGATTGTTATTTTTCACATCCAAAAGTACCAAGAGAAAAATATGTAAAGGTCCCTCATCAGAAAATGTGATAAGAAATACCAAGCAGATGCACACCTTTGAGGAAACGCTAAAGAAATCCCATACTTCATGTTGTTCGGCAACATTAGCTATTGACAGGAGATCCTGAAGCAAGATGGTATAATATAATCAAAGACATAATTTTCAAGAGTACAAAGGAAAACTTAAGAATTTGTTTTATACAAGGAATAAGATACCTGGAGATATTTATCAAGTTGAATGCAACGTTGATGTACAAAGGCATCATCTGTGTTTGAGGAAAATATCCTTTTAGGAGGAAGATGCAATGTGTAATTTGGAATATCTTTAAGATGCCGATGCAATCGCTCAAAGTTCCTGTATCTGATGATCACCAAAAGAAATTATGGTAAAGTCAAGGCACAGATAAAAGATGGAATCAAAAAATTGAGACATGAACATATTATTCTCAATAGTCTATAATGGAGAAGTTTAAACTCAATAGGGGAAAGAGAAATATTAGACAAAATATATATAATTTTGTGATCCTTGCATTTATTTTATGGTTACAACTTAGAACTTAAAAGTAAAAAATTACACCTTGTATAAAGCCATGTTAAATTTCAAACAAAGATAAATTGTTTACAACTGCTATTATAAAAATGTATGAAAGAAGTAAACCTTCTTTTTACAAACCAAGTTTTATTTTGTGCATCAGTCACTGCAATTGAATAAACAGCAAAACATGTGGACCCAAGTTTCTCAAAATATGCTCCCACAACCTGCAATGTTTAAGTAGACAAAAACAACAATCAACAAGTACCAACAGAACTCAAATCCATTTTGATTTGATTTATAAAAGGCTATACCAACATACTAAAGAGATTCTATATCAATATACTAATACTACATCTGAAAACTATTACAACCAAAAGTGCATACCCGGCACCGGAGCTTTGGAACTAATGGCCCTTCTTTCCTAACAATCATGTCAGAAGAACTCTTTCCTCGAAATCCATCACTGTGCCTCTCAAATTCAGGGTTGTAAAACTCAGAAATTATGGAGCCTCCTTCTTTATTAAGTAGGATTCCTAATGAAGAAGCACTATTTGACCTCTTTAACGGACTTTTATAACCATCAGAAGCAAGATCCTTAATACTTTTCATTTTATCAACTCCAAGGTCTCCCGCAAAAGCTAATTCCTTGTCAGGGTTTTGAGAAGACTCTGAAATTTTTGCACTTCCAACATTTTGTAGGGGATCTGAACCCATGGCCTGCATTGGCGGTAGAGAAGATTTCCCCTCTGCAACTTCATACTTTCCTCGATTACTTGCTGATGTTTCTTGAGTCAATTTTCTCTGAGGCAGTGAACTGTCTGTAGAGGGATTCTTTGCAGGAAGATCCTGAAAGCCAGTTTTGATAATTTTGTTCTCTTTCCTTTTGTAATTCCTTCCCTTTGTCCACATGTTCTCAAGGTTCTCAGGCATAAGAATTTCAGTTCTCCTCTGAGTTGCAACCTCCAACATTTGTGCCCAATCAGCAGGCCTAACCTGTGAAGATTCTTGATTAAGAGAGTTATATTGCAATGGTTTCCCACCCTGATCACTCATTTTGGCCAATACCATATCCGTTCCTTGATTTAAAGATGAATGCTTATTAGAGGCTGTGAGATTGTGGTGTCCACCCTCACTGGCAACAGAATGTCTATGATAGTGACTTGCTACATTAGTTGACTGATCACTGCCCATCCCTTTCGTGCCATCATCATTAAAGAGAAGCAGAAGAGATTCAATCAGTTCATTAATATACCTGATCATCAAGATAAACATAATATTAATGGGAATTGCAAAAATTATAAAGAATTGCAGTTATAATGCTACTCCAATTTTTCCAGTCATGTAGATGACCGACAATAAATATGTTTATTTAAGAAAAATTCTCTACAATATTTGTGCATAGAATGTTTTAAATTGTCTCAATTAAACAGTATGCTTCACCATTTTAACTCCACATATAACAAACAAAAACAATATTCTTATCCTATAAGGAGAGGTCGACTACACAAGTCACACAATGCCATTTAGCTCGGTTAGAAACCAATTTCTCAAGGATACTCTTCACCATCATATCTCTTTTAATAATTTTCTCCAATATCTTTCTTGATATTTCTCTACCACTTTTTTACAAGGTCAAAAGTCATGTGAATTACTATCTACCAGTGCATCCAATGACCTTTGCACGTATCTGAACCACCTAAACTAATTTCTATCATATTTTTCTTAATAGGTATCACCACAATGTCTTCCCATATACAATCATTCTATATCTTGTGCCTTCTTGTGTAGTCACATATAAACATACTAATTTTTGCTACTCGCACTTTTTCCCTCTTTTTTTCCTTTTAAAGCTCAATATATACTTCCATAGAGATAGTTGGTCATATCAAAGTATGATAAAACTTCTCTTTGAACTTGGTTGGTACTTTGCGATCACAATCAATCTTTGATGCCTTTTTCCATTTTAACCACCGTAAAATCTTCATTTATTTCCACATCATTTTGTAACATTAATCCCAAATACTTAAACATAGAAACATGTGGTATAACATCTTCTCCAAATTTTACCTCCAAGTCATTTGCATCTTATTTCTTGCTAAATTTACTGTTAGATATGTGCATTTAATCATTTTTTATATGTAAATATGTAAAGATGAAAAGATAGTTCATATGTAAATACATAAAGATGGAAACATTCCATTACTAGAAATACGGATTTATTTAATTCTCGGTACTCTTGTTACCTTATTTAATTGAGACAATTTAAATCAGGCTAAGATCAATTTAAATTTAGTATATTTAGTTGTAAATTTGGGTAGTTAAGATCAAAATCAGGCTTACTTTGATTTGATTTCATTTTCTTTTGTTATAGGAGTTTTAGTTAGATGGGATCTATATCAGATTATTCAAATCTGACTTGACTCTCCATTATTTTCTCCTTATCTTATCTTTACATTTATTTTGTAATCAGGGTGATTAGGATTTCTTCTAATTATCTTTGTCTATAAAATTCCCTCATGTAATTCTGATCAATGTACAAAAATAAAGATCTTTTTCTTCTCCAAAATTACATACTCTTCTATAGTTATAATGCATATAATTTGTTTTACTCTCAAGGGAAAACTCTTTGATTCCAACTCCAAAGCTCAAGTATAATGTTAACTTCGTCCCTTGATTCTTTAACCAAAACTATATCATCAGTAAAAAAATATGCATTTAGGAATAATCTTTTGTCTGTCCCTGGAAAGCACATCCAAGGCTAGATTAAACAAGTAAGGACTTGAGGCTGAATCCTGATGTAAATCTACCCTTATAGGAAGTCCTTAGTCTCATCTCCAAAAGTTTTCATAATAGTTGTTATCCCATTATACATATTATAAAAGATCAAATATAAGTCATGCGAGCACCTTTTTTTACCAATGTCTTCCACAACATTTCTCTTGGCGGTTGATCATAGGTTTTTTCTGAGCCAATAAAAATCATATGCAAGTCTCTTCCTATGCTTCAATACCTTTCCATCGCCCTCCATAGAATAAAGATCTTATGTTGTAAACCTTCCTAACACAAATCCAAATTGGTTCTTCGCAATCCTAGTCTCTTTTCTTAATCTATGTTCAATCATTGTTTCTTACAATTTCAGTGTGATTCACAGGTTTATCCCTCTGTAATTTACACAATTTAGAAATCTCCCTTGTTCTTATATATAGAAACCAAAGTGTGTCTCTTCCGCTCATTTAATATTTCTTATATCTCAAAATCTCATTAAAATAACTTAGTGAGCCAAATGATGTTCTCCTACACATCGAAACATCATTAGGAATACCATCAAAGCGAATAACTTGCCATTATTCATCCTCTTAAGACCTTTCCAAATCGAATTCATTGATAGTAAGCTTTTTAACTCTACATACAAACCTTTAAATTTAGAAACTACTCTTTGATAAAACAAAAGTGTATATGAACGATGTGGAAATCACCAAACCATTGTTTTAAAATGGAAACCCAATAATTATGACTAGTACATCTTAGACTTATTTCATAAATACCTAATCCCAAGAGGTGCTAACTCATGTCCTTATATTATTTTTCATTTTCTTGCATGGTCAAAGGCTTGTCACTCAGCCTGTTGACACCCTAAATCCGATAACATTTTTCCCTTGACTTATGCATATTGCATATACGTTCAGAATATATTAAACTTGACCTATGCTTAGACATCCCAATAGCTACCCTTTCACTTCTCAGTCTTCAACCTTATGATCCATAACTTCAATTTTTTTTCAAGTCTAATAATAGTTTTAAATCTACAACTTCAAATACACAAAGCCAGAACAGAACAAAACCACTTTACACATGCCCAGTATAACATCAATATGAGAAGCTGGACAATGTAATTACTCTGGGCCATACACTGTTTGAAAAATCATCATACCGTCCTATATTTTGCACACTCCCACTTTCTCAACCTACTCAACTATGAACTAACAAAGTGTAACATGATTAATAAATAACATTGTTCCTTAAGCATGTGGTCAAAAATTCAATCCCCAATCTGTGTATGGAAAAACATTTGTTGGGAGGGATCTATCCTTTAAATGGATCTCAATATCTCAAGGGATTAGACCTTAGTTTTAGGTTAGGGGATACCTTGGTTTACAAAAAAAACTACTTAACTAAGCAAGCCCTAAATATGATTTGAACAAAGACTAGAAAAAAAATAATTCTAAAAAAAAGGCAACTTTTAAATCTTGAATGGAGTAGCCCTTCCATAGAGTAGATATTATTGCTACAATTCACCTCTCCAAAAATGAATAATCACAAAAATAAATATACGACAAAATATTAAACAACATACCCAGGGCTTGCCAAATTCATAATAGGCTGCATTACCAAGCAAGTTAAAAGTTCCCGAGCTATAGAACGAATCACAGGACACTGAGCTTCTCGTTGTCTTAGTACTGTAGCTATAACAGCACTCATTAGCCGCTGAAGAACCTGAGAAAGCTCGCATTAGATAAGATACAAGACATAATTCTTAAAAGAAACATATACAACATCAGAACACTCCACTCACACCTTGTACTCACTCTCAGGAGATATTAGTGCTGGATGAAGCTCCTTAGAATTCAACAGATTGAATTTTAATCTATCATCCCTCTCCTTAGAAGATAATGTTTTCATAACATCAACGCCTATATCAGCTTGATTTCTTCTGAATAATTCTAAGTGATCACCTACTAAATCTACTAAATCCCTGAAAGTAAATGAAATGTAAGACAATTAGTAGTTTTCACAATACTTTCTCTCTGGTAGCAAATACAGGAGATGGAAAACCAGATACCTCGTCAGCAAGTCAACCAAGTTTATCTCTTTAACCCTCCCGGATATTTCAGCTAGAACATCCATAATTATTGCATGTATCTGCTCTGGAAACTCCCTATCTGGAGTAATTTCTGAGTACCACAAATCAACCACAAAATCCTTCAAAATCTTATCAATGAAATCGCTCATTGCAGCCTCCACAGGAGCAGAATCAATTTTCCTCTTCCATTTCGCAGGGGGAGGCAAACTAGAAAGACGTGGATCATTCAGAGACAATTGCTTTTTCTCCAAATGAGATAGATAGGTCTGCTTTCTAGGTTGTTGAACCTTCCAACGGAACTCCACCTTATTAAATAGAAAGCGCAAGCCGGAAACAAAAAGGATAGACATGGGTACATTCATCCACATTGATTTACTTGTATCTACAACACAATCACCATTAAGAAAAATGAAAAGCAGGTCAATTGAAAGACAATCATAATATACTACTCCCTTCTTTCCTTTTAACAAAGACAAGATCACAGGAACTCACAAGTAGAAGTCACAACTAAAGCCATTAACAGCCACACTAAATTGAGCACAACCACTTAAACACTTGCAAACAATCATAGTGAGTTCAGTTCAACTACGAAATTCCACACTCATAAATAAGCATTACCAATAAGCTCAATCAGCATTAATAAAGACCAAGGAAGCAAAATTGGTAAAGCTGGAGCCACTAATTCAAAAACTAAATCGGAACAGGGAGTGGAAACACGAGATTCCTTCACTAATTCACTAATTTCACGCATACTATTATTCTAAAGCTAACAGATAGTGAATAATCAAAGAAAAAGAGGAAAGAACAAAAACTTACGAGTTAGAAAATAGGAAACGGCGAATATACAGAGGGCCCACCAGAGAGTGCGGAGCTTGGCCTCTTGGATCAGATCATTCACACTCTCCATGGCCACGACAACAGCGATTGGAACAAATCACGGTCTATGTTCTGTTCCGCTTTAGTTTCAATTTCGATTCCTTCGGGGGTTTTCGATAAAACAACAATAACAGCTGGAATTTGATCTCCACTACCTCCTAAATGTTAATAATATTCTTTGTATGTGACTTTATGAGTTGGAATTTGATCTTCTTAAAGGCTTAAACAATTAATTGGACAAACGCAGGATCAAAGACAGGGTATAACGTGCGAGACGTATAATAGGGTGAATATTCGGCGTCAGTAACTGTGTAGTCAATTTTCAAATTACAAATTGCAGTTTTCCTTCTCTTCATGATATTGTTATCTATTGCTATCATATTGTTTTTCTTTCTTTGTTTTCATGTGTTTTGATTTGATATAGTTAGTTTTTAATTTCAATTAATAATAGTAACTAATAACTTTTAATTTGGCGTCTTCTAATAATATGTTTTTAATACACATAATTAAGAAAAGAGTTAGTTTGCATGTATTATTATTGTAAATATTTGTATATTATAAATTAAATAGATCAAAACAAATTTATTCTTAGATTATATATAAATTTTTTTTATTAATTTAAGATAATTTGATATTTTATTTTTATAAAATAAAATTAATATAATATATATATTTCAAAATATATTAAAATAT